TGGCCACTGGCGGCAGACATGACAAAACGCAACGTTGAGTACTGCCGGTAAGAAAAACGTCCGCGATGCCGCGATAGCGTCCTGTTCAGCCGTTCGTCGCCTACCGGATCGAGCCACACTAACCCAGGCCACGTGTATATTCAACGTCACCCTCCTCCAACTCGCCACTCTCTTCAATCTTTGAAAAAAAAACTCCATCGGAACTCTAGCGCATCCTATTTCACCATACACACAAGCATATTAATTGCTTCTCCGCCTCATTCTCTTGAATTTTGCGCGACTACTCTGACTTGAGGCTTTGAGGGGTTGTTGCACCCCAGTGGCGCTGGGAGTGTGTATTTCGAACTTAAGTTACGGTAACCATCTCTCCACGCTGACAGTCATAGCCTACGGATCCTGTGACACACTAAGATATACGTGTCAGCCCATCCTACAAATTGGGACTAGGGGGTACGTCGCCCCGGAGGGAGCGGTCTCGGATCTGCATCGAGTCTGCGTGGCCTAGATGGTCGGTTGGCCGATTTTTGGTGGACGTATCGCCGTGGCTCCACGAGAACGACGAGGTGCGTCATACAACTCACTAACAGTATTGTTCGTTCATCCTCATCATTGATCTGGTACCAGACAGCAGACAATTTCTGTTCAGTATCCTGCGACCTTGCTAGCATAGGCATGGAAACATAAGAGTTGCTCAATTCAAACTTGGCATCGGGGAATGTGTTGGAACTTATGGGCCCCGATGAGAATCTTCACGAGACAGTCGCTCCGTTCACGCGGAAAGGAGATTGGGACCTTGTTTACGACAGGAAAAATGATATACGTTCCTGAGCTATAACGACATCAGCTTCAAATTGTCAATTTCGTACTAGCACTACTACTTGGAATCGATCATAACCGCATGCCCGGCGCTGCTCTCTGACTATCTCTTTGAGGGTGCTTCTGAAATCGGTTTCCAGGCCATCCTGCGCACAGCTTATCTGGTACTCGACAGAAATTCGCGCAGATCATCGTGCAAAGCTTCAAAAGTAAGTTAGCGAAGTACTCATTATGAGCTCGACGAATATTTATATCCTATCGGGTGAGGAGAGCAAGCTGCTATTTACTCTATCTACTGATTCATCTATTCCTCTTAAGCATCGCGAATACCATTGTAGGACTCATCTGCTCTTCTGATGAACAAAGTCATATTGCCCGAGGAACTAGTACGGGCGAGTTAATCTAACGTTCCATCAAAGAAGCGAGGCTCGGCCTCATCTTAGGTGACAATGTTATTTTATGTACTGGTGCCTCTTTTATCTAGCCGCACAACTCGCTACATCCCCGTGCAGCCCATGACTAGGCCGTTCTCTTCGGCTAGCACGTGTTATGCACATTTTGATCTGACTTCTGAGCGTTCAACAGCAACATCGAATGTCATTCCCACACCACGTATTTGGTCGTCATCTTGTTATGGTCATAGTATCCGCTTACTGCGCAGCAGATGGGGATATTCAGGTTTGAGATCATACCCGATCCCGGTACACGAACCCTCTTATATCAGGGGCTCGTGCATTCCAACGACCTCGTAGAATCTTCTAGCTATGGCACGTCTCACTATCCCGTCTCCTCCTCAGACACAAGGTCTCTCATCTAAGACTTTTTGCCCGCCTCCGCTCGATGGTTCCATATTGTTTGGCCAAATATTCGAGTGGCATGAACAGCACTCCCCGCATCATCGGCTCTTCATATATGCTGACGATACTGGTCGGATTCAAGATATAACTTGGTCTGATGCAGCCAGGGCTATTCGTGCTGGTGCACAGTTAGCTAGAGAATGCGTACCTTGGAAGCAAGAGATGGGAAAAGCTCCCATCATCGGAATTCTTGCTGCCTCAGGTAAGTCGATTTCATGTAAATCTAGCAGAATCAGACTTACTCCGCCGCATAGATTCTATACCATATGCTACTATGGTCATGGGTATCGTCCGTGCAGGTTACGTCGCATTCGTTATCTCCGTCCGCAACTCCCCAGCAGCAGTGGCCCACCTGTTGAACAATGTTGGGGTCAACCATGTTCTAGTTGGACGGGAACAGGCGTCGCAAGATTTGATACAAGAGGCCATCGTAATGCTCAGGTCGCAGTATTCAAATGCGGGCATACCGAGTGTTTCGGCAATGCCGGTCTATGAAGACCTTTACTCACCGCTATCTGTGCCTTCGCTTGCCGATGAACTTCCGTGTTCGCTTCTGAGCCTGGACGCGCCTGCTCTCATTCTGCATTCATCGGGTGGGTGTCACAGATTCTAAATAGACCAACCATCAGCAATTCTTACGTTCCGTAGGTTCCACTGCATTCCCGAAGCCCATTATTTATACAAACCGTCGCGTCCTTGAACTTGGGACTACACCATATTATGGCGAGCTTGATATCACCGGTTTGATATTTTCCACCCACATGATGCCCATGTTCCATGGCATGGGTATCATGCATGTGATTTTAGGTGTATGTGCTTTGAATACAGAATTAGATCTGGCTCGTTTATAATTCTCACATGACCTAGGCCTCATGCGGTGCTACCGTTGCTGCTTTCGCGCCCAAGTCTCCGCCGGCCGCTCCTACCGCGGAGACAGTATTTCAAGGGGCCAAGGCGTGTGGCTGTGACATAATTATTGTGACTCCAGCATTTGTTGAGGTGCGCCTTTCACGCTTCTCTACTCCATACGATCTTAGTGTGCTTTGAAGTCTTGGTCGCGTAACCCCGAATATGTTACCTGGCTTGCGACGCTGAAGTTTTTGGTGCGTTTCTCATCCTGAGTGTAGTTTCGATTCATGACACATATCGTACTGCTCTAATAGTGGTTTGGCGGTGGCCCACTTAATAAGGAGGTTGGAGACTTCCTGCATTCTCAAGGAGTGTCTCTTTGCATTGGCTATGGCTTGTACGTCGGGTGGAAGCGTCATGACACCGTCTTATCTCACTGGTCTATTTACTAGAACTGAAGCTGGTTGTATAAGTTTATTCATACCAGGTAAGCTTGCTGTTTTCCTGAGCAGCGTGTGGATAATGAGTAACAATTATTCCAGCCAGGTCTCATCCCGATTGGGAATACATACCGTTCAATCCGGCTATTACCGCGCACATGTTGCCCCAAGGCGACGGCACGTTTGAGCTCATAGTAGTGGTGCGTTTTGAGTTGGGGTTGGTAAGCATAAAGTTAATATGTTCGTCCATTCATCTGCTAGGCGAGTGAGCGGGATCACCCGTGCCTCATTAATACCCAAGTTGACGGAGTCGACGCATACTCTA